TACTATTTTTAATAATTTTTAAAGTTAAATTATAGTTATAAAAAAAGAGCCTTATAAAATAATAGATATGAGTGTTATTTAGAGGTTTGGCCTAAGTTAATCTTAATTTAGGCTAAAATTTGTAATTTTACTACTGCGCATTATTTTGTAACAATAAAAATTTAATTTTAGTTTTTGTAAAGTTTTTAATATTTTTACTTAGATTTTCTAACTTTAATTATTTAGTATATTTTTAAAATATAGTATTTTTAATAAATTTCATTTTTGCTAAGCATTAAAATTTTGTTTATTTTTTTTAATTTTTTTTAAATTTACTTAGTCTTTTATTTATATTGTATTATCTTAAAAACTAGTATACTAATTTGTATATAGTGCTTTAAATAAAAATATTTTATATATCAAAAACTTTTAATTTCAATTCTAATTCCAATATATACCAACTATTATAACAAATTTGTATTAAGAATTGTATATACAAAATTTATAAAAATAAAAAAATAAAAATAAAAACATGTAATTGATACAAAACTATAAATATATTTATTTTTGCTTTTTATAATTTATTCTTTATTTTTATTTTTTAAGTATACTGTGAAAGTTTTTAGACTTAGATTTAAAACATAAAACCTTTCCAATTTTGTAAAAAGTTTTTATTAAATTTAAAGATAATTAATTTTTTTAAAAAAAAGTATACGTACTGCGAAAGCCGCAATTGTGTTACATTGTGTCAGTTTTTGTATATATATAGATATTATATGGCATTTATCATATGACATTTTTAAAACTACAAAAAAAGTTAAATAAAAAAAATCATCATTGAGTAATTTTAAAAGTAGAACGGTGGCGTATTATTTCTTTTTTAACACTAATGATTTTGTAATGTTTATTAAATTTCACAGCCGTAGTTCATACGCACGTACATACATAACCAGAAACGTAAGTAAGGAATTGATAATTTCAGATTTTTAAAATGGTAGGATTATTCCAGAAGTACGATTTACGATTTCTCTAATAGTTATATCGATATTTAGTAAATGGTGAAACTACACTTTCTTTTTATGTTTAATCATTCGGCTAAAGGGTAAAAAGAGTTTCCGCCATTCGGTTACGTAAAAGATAACGGTAAAAAGAGGTTCCCTAATGCTAAAAAGGGGGTTTAATTATTAATTATTATCGTTCATACCCGACATGTATTGCTTTATACGTATATTATACGTAGAATTAATGTTATAACATATAACAGATAAGATAAACGACCACTTTTGTTACGAAATGTAAGGATTAACAAAATTATTAAATACAGTATATACAAAAGTTTAAATTAAGTCGGAAATTAAATTAGGATTTAAATTCGGAAATGAAATTTTCCATTCCGTAAAAAAAAAATTAGGCGGTAGATTTATGAATTTATGGATTTATTATGGATTGATGGGTTGGTAATAAAGATTTCCCAGCCCGTTTGTTACGTCAGTAAAAATATTTACACTAATTTACGTAATGCTGCGGTTGGTTACTATTTTTTTCTATTTTTATATTTTTTATATATGTTGCTAAACATAAACGTTAATACAGTAATAGCTGAATGAATTCTAAGAGTGGAATTCTAAGTGAGAAATTCTAAATTCTTTTTCTTTAATTACGCCAATTATTTCACCAAAATCTTTTTCTTTAATTACGCCAATTATTTCACCAAAATTTTAAAGCTTTAACGGTCTATACCGGAAATTGAAACTCACCCTTGTGTTTTTTTTTTTTTTTTGATCACGTAATGAAATTCAAGTTTTTTTCAAAACCATTGGCTTAAATTGTATCATAATAAACCAGTTTTTTACAAAACCTGAGACAAGTACAAAAAGATCCGTTTTTCTAAAAATGTAGAAAAAGCTGTGGTATAAAATTCTAATTGTGGAGGATTATTAATACTGCGGGTAATTAAAAAGTTACATCTAAATAAATCGTGCCAAAGTTTCCTTTTTAGCCAATTTTATTGACATTTTTTTATTCAAAGAAAACAATAGCATTATATAGTATTTTATCTTTTACTAAGTAGTTTAATCTCCATGAGGGTTAGAACATGTGTAAAACAAATCATACGAGTTTCGTGAGAAAAGAGGGTTTTTTTTTTATTTGCTTAGTCTTTTATAGAAAAGAAACAACATGCGGAGACTATATGTTGAGTAATCAAGGAGGTTATTCTTAATTGTTAAGGGATCTTTCATAATAATAACTCTATCTCTGTTTTTTTAAACAAAGAGTCTCCTTTAACCGGTAAAAATCAGATATGCTTAAAAAAATTTAAACTAAACAATTTGATAAGCAGGTGTCAAATTAACAATTGAGGAGGTCGATTAACTTTCATATGAAGCGATGCACGAGTTACAGGATACATTTTTTCTGTATTTCTTTTGAAAAAAAATATATATATTTTTTAGACTCTTTAAAAAACTCTTTATTAAAAACTCTATTAAAAACTCTTTTTTAAAAACTCTTAAAAAACTCTTTTAAAATAACTCTTGAAATAATATTAATAAAAAAAAAAGCGGAATATTTCCGTATTTGATTATACAGATGATAATCAAAGAAAAAAAAAAGAAAATTTCCCGATATTTCTAATAATGCTCTTTTAAAAAAAGATCATAATTGATTATCATTATTATCGTTATTATTATAACATACAGTATAATACAGTATAATACAGATAATACAGATAATACAGTATAATACAGTATAATACAGTATAATACAGTTTATTATCGTTATCATTATTATAATCTTAAACGTAAATCATTAATCATTGGTTAATAAAAAGAAAGAATAAAGATTTTTTTTTCTACCATTCCTAATCAAAATTACTAACAAACATTGTTCCTTTACAACTATTTTCGGTATTTTAATTTTGTATAATTAATCTTTATACGTATTACCTAACAATATTACTTAACAATTTTTATTGATAAATTTAATTGGTTTTCGGTAAAGAACAGAAAATAACAAAATAGATAATCAAAAAAAATAGATAATCAAACTTTTAATTGGTTAATTTTCTAATGTTAGAAAATTTTACTACCGGATTTTAACGATCGGATGGTTCGGGTGGTGGCATACTGTGGTGGTAACTTTTAAAAAGCTGTTATACGTTTATATTTTATTTTTCAATAAATTTTCAATAAATTTTCAATAATTTTTCAATAATTTTCAATTAAGTGTTACCCAAAAAAATTACTTCTTTGTTAAATAGTGTACGTATCAGAAATCGTAGAGAAATAAAGTGTGGATGTACACAAAAAACAAACATGATTTATTTGTGTAATCATGTGCATTAATGACTTTTCAGTTCTTTGGTTCAAGTTGTTTTATTAAGCGAAGATCACGAGCATGCGGTCCTTGAAAAAAAAAAAGCGTGCAAAAAGAAAAACGTGTCCTTTTAACTAAATTGTAATATTAAATCTTCTCACGATTGTCTTTTTATTTTATGACAGATGACTTATAGAACGTGTTAAAAAAATGCGCACACGCGTACTTTAAATATTTTGCAAAAAAATATATACAAATATATACAGACAGTACTTTTTTTAAACACTTTAAAACACAAAATAAAACACGCAATAAACACACTTTAGTTATTTATAGTATAATATATAGAAATATTATATTATTATTTTCATAATTTTTTTTATTTTTTACAATATTTTACAATTAATTGAAGTTGTGTGAGTTCATAATTTTTTTTGTGAATGTGGAGTTTGGTGTTGTTTGAAAAAATTTATTATTTAAAAAATGTTGTTTATGAAAATATGAGTTTCGTAACAATCAGCTTAAGAAAAAAAATGATGATATGATGTGAATGCTTTATCTATAAAAAATTGATGATGGTTGAAAAATGTCTAATTATTAAATGCGATTATTTACTATATGCTAATATTCTATTAATAAAAAGCACAGCTTTATATCATATAATACATATTTCTATATTACGTATGGATGATGGATGGATGGATGGTGGATGGATGGTGGATGATGGTGGATGATGGTGGATGGATGTATGAGTGAATGTATGAAAAAGGGTCGATTGTAAAAACCTAACTTTTTATACTATGATAATGAAATTCATGAATGAAATGATTTGGTATTTGATCTTTAAAAAAGGATCAATCCCAATTTTTCAATTTTATGCGTGCATGAAAAAAATTTAAAAGTCTATAAATTTGATATTTACAATCTATAAAAAAAAAAAAACGCGAAAAGAGAAAGAAAACCAATAAGAATTAAAAATCGTAAGAATTTTTTTTGTTTGTGTTTGTGATTTCGTCGAAAGTATTTATCGAAAATTAACGATGTTTGTGTTTGTTTGTGTCTTGTTTTAAAGAACCAATGATAAAACCAATGATAATACCAAGGGTAAAAAAAACCGATTTGTAAAAAAAGGATTGTATATAGTTGGAATAAAAGAGTTGTTGAATGAATAACCAATCCGGTGGTTAATTCAACAAATGAAGGAAGAAAAAAAAAATGCGACTATTACTATATACAAAAATTATAAAATTTCTATTATATGCTAATTTTTCTTTCTCGGTGAGTCGTCTTAACAAAAGTCTATTATAAGTGTGCGTTTTTTTGTCTATTCTCTGTTGTTGCTCCTTCAAGTTCGTAAAGTGTAAAGTTGCAATGTTCGTAATTATTAAGATTAAGAATAGATTAAACTAGTTAATCTATTTTTTTTTTTGACACCGCGTCAAAAAAAAAAGAAACTTGAAGTAACAATAATAGTCTAATATCTAATATGATTGCGTGCATACCAAAAACCCGCTGATTGTTACTTATGTACTTGAGAGAAATAAAGGTAAAAATAAATTTGATAAAAAAAAACTATGTATATATTTATATGTATAACTCGGCAAATATAATTGTCCGAAGAAAAAATATCCTTCAATTTTTTTTTTTTTTCAAAAAAAAAAAAAAAAAAATAATCGAATTTCATTTGTAATCACAGATTACAAAACCTAATTCGGATTATTAGGACTTAACGAAAAGTTCTTCTGACCTTCACCATGGTTAATCGTAACCAAAGTTTGAATCCTATAAAGCTTTGCCTTGGATTATATGAATCTGAACTATTTCGTTTTTCTTTCTTTGCCTTCTTACAATTTACGTCATGGCAACATTGATTCTTATGATGATGATGATGATGTTTTTCGGTCGTTACTTGATAATGTGTTGGATAATATGAATACACGCTATGAATCGGTCCTATGCTTTCACTTTGTATTGACGATATACTGTAAATCGAACTTCGTCTTGAGGAACAGACCGTCGGTGTTTCCGTCGCTGATTGAAAATCAAAATCAAAATCGTGTGGCATACCGCCTAGTGCACTTATCACATTTTGTTGATGAACGCTATGTGAATGTGACTTGCCACTCGGTGAGTTTCTCTTCTTAAATGGATTATGGATCTTGCGGTTACGTGAGAATATACTATTGTTTTTCATCTTGTCTTCTTTTTTATTTTTTAATCTGTTTTTTTTAATATAATCTTTTTTTTTATTATATTTGATGATTATTTTTATTATTGTTAAAAAGTTCAAAAAGTTCAAAGTTTTCGGCGAATTCGTTACAGATTTATATAGTTTTTTAGGTCGTATATATTCGTATATTTGGTCGTAATAAAGCTTGTAATCGAAATGTGAACTTTTTATTGATTGTTTTTAGACAACAAAAGAAAATCCGTTTTTAAAACGATGATTTTTTTTTATTGGTTCAAATAAAGGGTAGAAAGAAAAACCTTTTGATTTAAACTTTTTATCTGGTTTTAGAGTTTTTGGTATATATATATATAATTTTTTTTTTTTTAGTAAAAAATAGTGAAAAATAGTCTCGTATTTTCTCGTAGTTTTAAAAGAGAACTATTATTTGTTATCACTTTTTTAAGAACCTATGATATAAACCAAAGGGAAAAATAGTTTGAGAGAGAACAAAAGAGACGCACCTCTTTGTTGGGTGAGGAAAGATGGGTTTACGGAAGTTGCCAACCCATTTTATAGAATTTTCCTTCTCATATGAATAAATCAATTTAATACTTATTTATACCTTGTAGTATATAAATCAAATAGTAGATCCGCAATTTATATTCCTTACTGTAACATATGCACGCATCAATAGAAAATAGTAGAAAAAAGTAATACAGAAATAGAAAATACTTATTAAAGTATTATATAATTATATAAATATCTTTACTTTATTTATTTATATATCCGGCGAAGTACATACTTATTGCTACTTATTACTACTTATTAAGATACTAATTACTATTTATTACTATTTATTACTACATAAAGTACTCGTTTTTTACTTTTACTACGTACTCATTACTTATTGCTTACTTTTTTCTGTATAAAAAAAATGCGGCAAATATAAAATCTATATTTGTAATTTGGTAACACTGTAATATCGTGTAGATTTTACATGTAGATTTTTTTTTTATACAGTAAGTACAAAAAGTATATGTAGATTATACATGTTATACATGTAGAAACCACACACTTTATTTATGTGAAATTATTATTACAGGTTTAAATCCATACACCTACGGTAAATCGTTTTATATAAAAATACTATTTCATTATTAATACTACAGTATTAAAAAAATACGCATGATCCTATATTGAGGCAACTAAACGAGCAAATCATATTCTTTGCATGTTGTTTTATCTGTTACCATTATGACCCTAAAATTTCTAAAATCTCAATTCTCTTACGTACGCATACCTGTACAGTACGTATGTATGTATGGTATCTGATATGTATTTGGAATTTTTTTTTGGTACGTACGATATGTATGATATCTTTTTTTACTATTATCTCTTTACGAATTTTCCATGTCATCAATTTCCTTATTATTCATTACTATATTAATGTATTAATGCCTAATATATTATTGTTAATTCATTATCCTCTTAAAATGTAGCAAATTTTCAGGCAAATTTGTCTGGAAAATTGTTATAAATTTGCTTATGATCTACTTTTTAAATAAAATATTTTTTTGATAATATATACAGTATTTTGAAAATAAGAATTATATTATAGTAATATTTTATAGTAATATTTTATAGTAATATTTTATATTACGAGAATAAAAGTTTAGATTGCTTATAGACTAAATTATTTATAAATTCTTGATAGTTCTTTATGCAAATTATTAATATTTTTTTAATTTTATTTAAAAAATTTCAAGCAAATTTTACCTGGAATACAGATTAAAAGTTACAGTAATTCATTATCTAATAATAATTGCATACTGTATCGATGATAATAATATCGATAGTATATCTGATATTGTTATATTGGATAATTTTTGTAATAATAGCACTTTGGTATTTTTAGTACAGTATTTTAGTATATTACAGTATTATCAGTTATTATCAGTTATAGAATTGTACGTACGTTCGTAGAATTACGACATTATAGATGTGTTAATAATAAAAATTCATTAATGCCGATTTTAGTGATTCCACGCGGATGAAAATCATTACACTTGTACTCCCATTTGTTTCGATTTAATGTACAAAAAAATTTAATTTGCCTTATTTAGAAAATAGTAATTTAACTGCATTTCATTTCTTGGTTATCATTCAAGATTGGTGATAAAGTTTCACTTTTTTTTTTTTTATTATTATTATACTACAAATTTTTTTTCGTATTATTATTCTATACGTACTAAAAAAGTATATTCTTTTCTTAACTTGGATTAATTGTTAATATATATTTGATTGCATTGACTACGTATCAATGTTTAGCATTGAATTTCGCCACCCTACCATATAATCTTTTAATATTGTTTTTAAAAAAATATATATTTCGTATCATAACGTATTACAGTCAGATACTATCTATATAACAGAAAATCCGGGCTGAATAAAAATTTTCCATTATCTGCTACTATTATTAATTCGCTGTAAATCATTATAAATTATTAATATAATAAAAATTTGGCTCTTTGCAATTTGTCAGTTAAACCGGTAAATCCGGTTTAAGACTGTCCGTAATATCCGTTGTATCGATAGTTGATAGTTGATTGCAGAAATATATATATATATATGTTTATTTTATTTATATTTTGTATTTATATTTTTGGTAGTGCCATTTTATTTTGCAATTTAATTTGCAATTTATTTTGCAATTTCAAAAGCAATCAAAGCAATCCCAAAGCAATCAAAGCAATCCCAAAGCAATCCTAAAGCAATCCTAAAGCAATCCTAAAGCAATCAAAGCAATCTTAAAGCAATCTCAAAGCAATCTCAAAGCAATCCCAAAGCAATCCCAAAGCAATCCCAAAGCAATCTCAAACTATTTCAAACTAATCTCA